GAAAACCCTGGTGAACCATCATTTGCAGGTGAAATTGTTGTAACCTGGAAGAGACAAATTTTACAAATAGGTTAAACAAACAAGGGCCAAACAGTAGCATCCCCAATATGGAGAGGAGAGGGATCCTAAGAAGTCCAAGGAGAGACCATAACCAATTTTTCCAGTTCCAAGTAAGCGAGGTCACCATACTGGGCAAAAGTTGGGTTTCTCTGAGGCCTTTTAACCAGGTTGCGTGATTTAGAATTTCATGTACTCTTATTTCTACTTTAGCGGAGTTACTGATGCAGGTGCAGCATGCAGGTATTTTCAATAGCGCAAACTCTTCCTTCTGCATGCAGCTAAGAGATAGTCTAGGGCAATACGATTGTCTAAAACTACATTGGCTAATGAGTTGATGGATTGTTGTAGTTCATGGAGGGCTTTTGTGATTTTTCATTGTAAGACTGAGGGGACATAAAGGAGTCCCTCTGATTGGAACCATCCAGTTGGTCCCTTGGTGTACCTGTATTGGATGTCCATTGTATTTCTTCTTGGGTATACTTAGGGGTTGGTAGTTCTGTAGGTAAGGATGGAATTAGTGATCCCAAGAATATATCAGAGGTGGTGGCTGCCTTTGCAACTTTATCAGCGTATTTGTTTCCTTGTGCTACTTTACTTTGGCCTTTTTGATGTCCCTTGCAGTGTATAACTACTATTTCTTTAGGTAAATGAATTGCCTGTAATAATTTTAAAATTTGAGGCCCGTATTTAATGGGGTTATCTTTTGCTGTTAAGAATCCCCTTTCCTTCCAGATAGCTGCATAAGCATGAAGTAGTAGAAAAGCATACTTAGAGTTTGTATATATAGTCAATCTTTTTTTTTTTATCCTCACCCCAGGATATTTTTCCATTGATTTTTAGAGATAATGGAAGAGCGAGAGGAGGGGGAGAGAGAATGAGAAACATCGATGTGAGAGAGACACATCACCGATTGGTTGCCTCCCTCATGGACTGGGCCGGGGATCAAGCCTGCAAAGGAGGTACATGCCCTTGACCAGGAATCGAAACCTTGATCCTTTGGTCCAAGGGTCGACACTCTAACCACTGAGCCAAACCGGCCAGGGCTTCAATCTTTTATCTTGTCCTAATTCTATGGCCCTTGTGAGTGCTATTAATTCAGTTAGTTGTGCAGAAGTTCCTGAAGGAAGAGACTTGGCCTCTATAATTTGATGTAAAGAAACTATAGTGTACCCCGAATAACGGGTTCCATTTAGTACAGAGCTGTTTCTGTCAGTGAATTAATTTTCCCCTGGATAGTCTAAAGGCTGTTCCTTAAGGTCCTGTCTACTTGCAAAATGAGTAATTTATCTTTTAAGTAATTGAGCTTTGGTCTTAGATACTTTGTATCCCGTCTGCCAGAAAATTTAGTCTTAATAGCGTGCTGTATTCCTTTTTCTGTGGAGGGGGAGCAAATGAGTAAATCATCTACAATTTGTAGGAGCTTCCACCCCCTCCCAAGTTAGGTCCCTCAGATCTTTGGCTAGTGCTTGTCAAATTAAGTGAGGGCTATCCCTAAAGCCCTTGGGAAATACAGTCCAGGTTAGCTGTTGATTTGTATTGTCCTCCTTGGTCCATTGAAAGGCAAATAAATACTGAGAGCAGAGTTCTCAGAGGAATGCAAAAGAAAGCATCCTTCAGGTGTAAGACTGAAAAGCATTGGATCTGAGAAGGTATTTCTCCTAGGATAGTATAAGGGTTGGGAACTATGGGTTGGGACAACAACCTCATTTATAATAGTAGATCTCGCACTAAACTATATTCTCCATTTGATTTTTTAACAGGCAGGATAGGGATATTGCAGGCAAATTAATAGCCCATGTTTCAGGAATTTATTACTATTTGGAGTCCTTTTCTTGCCTCTGGCTTAATAGGGTATTGTTTCCTATGGGGGAAGTTTGTAGGTCCTTTATTTTTATAGGTATTGCTCTCCTAGCTCTTCCTGGTACTCAGTTAGCCCAGACCTCCAGGTTAATGGCCAAATTTATGGGGTGATCTACGATTTCCTCAGTTTCAGGGATCAGCTCAGAGAAAAAGATATTGGCTTCATGGGTATTGATATTTGTGCCCCTAGTTTACTGAGGACGTCCTTCCCTAAAAGCGGGATAGGGCATTTTGACATCACCAGGAACCGATGGGAAAAGACTGTTTGGTCCCAAAGGCAGCACAAGGGAGTAGTAAATCTCCCAATAGAGGGTTTTCCACTAACCCCAATAACTTGGGAGGAGTCGGAAATTAGAGGTCCAGAGAAGTTATTTAGCACAGAGTAGGCAGCTCCCGTTTCTACCTTCCACATCTAGGGTGACCCTTGGCTCCGTCCCGTTCAAATGGATAGTCTTGCTGGGAGCAGGCCAGAGTGGAGGGCCTCCTCAATCAAGGGTCATGAGTGGTTCTGGCCGGAGTCCCCTTCGGGACCCAGGACAGCCACAGGCCCAATGACCAGACTCCTTACATTTGGCACAAGGTGTTTTTGGCTTCCCGCTTCCATTGGCCTGGCTTCCCACAGCGATGGCAGTTTCCAGCGGGCGCCTTTGGGTTTCCACCCTTCTGAGAAGGCTGGGCCTAAAGGGCAGCAAGGAGCTGAGCCTGCCTTTTGTCTTTGCGCTTTTCTCTCTCTTTGTTCTTTTCCTCCTCCTCTATTTCTCTATTATAGTAAACTGAGGATGATCCTTTAGGATCTCAGTCATCGGTGTTCCTGGACCTAAGGCTCGGTTTTGTAATTTGCGCCAGACGTCTGGGGCTGCCTGAGTCAGGAAGTGATCTTTTAAAATTAATTGTCTCTTGGGTGAGTTGAGATGTAGGCTGGTATGTTTCAGAAGGGCCTCTTTTAATCTTTCTAAAAAGGCAGAGGGTTTTCTTGGGGCCCTTGGCCAATGGTTGAAAGTTTATTATAATTTATAGGTTTTCTTTGAATTCTTTTCATTCCTTCTATTAAGCAATGTAAAAAGTGATCTCTAAGAGCCCTGTTTCATTGGTTGTTATAGTTCCAATGGGGGTCTGTCTGCAGTTGGGACTGCAGCAACTCCTATAGGGTATATTTGGGGCTGAGCTAGGTGGGTGTCACCCCCAAATCTTTGAGCTGCTTCAGTTATTTCAGCTCGCTGCTCTGGTGACAGAGTTTGTCCCATGATCCCTGCAATATCCTTCCACATAAAGTCAAAGGTCCAGGTTAATTTAAGGAAGTTAATGTATTTTTGGGGGATCATCTGAAACAGTTCCAAGGTCTGATTTTACCTGTTTATAATCCTGAATGGAGAATGGCACCTGGACCCGTATAGGACCAGAGGGTCCAGTAACCTCTTGTAATGGACATAACCTAGGGGTTGTGGGTCCTATGTAAGGGGTTGCAGGATCATACGTAGTGTATTCAGGGGCTGTAGCCAAGGTCCCTAGCGCCAGTTGGGGCTGGAGATCTAGGGTGCCTATGGTTTTAGGCTGGGGCATCTGGTTAATAACTGCTAAAACAGCTGGATCTAATTTGCAAGAGCTGCCTCTAGAGCTTGGGATTGTCTCTGAGGGCCATAAGGGTTTGTATGTATGGGACCTCAGTCCGTTTCCCTTGTTGGTGACAAAACAAGTCTAGCTGGAGAATAGTATTATACTTTATGCTTCCATTATGGGGCCAGACCTCTTGGTCATCTAATTTATACTGTGGCCAGGCCATATTACAGAATATTAATTTTTTCTTCCTGAGGGTTTGAGGGTCAAATTTATCCCAATTGTTGATAATTCATCCCAGTGGTGAGTCCTGTAGTATGGAGGTGGTGTTGCCTATCTGGAAAATAGAAAAAAGAGGTCTGGGCAATGAAGCTAGAGAGGAAAGTGCGAACATCCTCATGACCTTGTTCAAATGAATAGAGTGTGGAGAGGCTCAGGTGTCCCCTTTGCCATGTAGAGTATTTCTAGAGCTCTTTAGAGACTCTCTTAAAGCCTTGGCCTTAGCACACCTTACCAAAGCTTCCCTAGTGACTCAAATTTTTCAGGTTTTGGATTTTTCGAGCCATATATTTTCAGCTATCTAGGCGATCCCTTCCCCTCCCCCGAGTGCCCCATTTATTAGCTAGCCTACCTGACTTCCAAACCCTGAGCTCATCATCTGGAAAGTTGGAAAGTGTTCTTAGGAGTTGAAGTCCTGCTAAGTCTTGAAGCGTCAGTACCTTGTTTTGTCTTATGATTAGCCTGTGATAAAGATGTTTGAAAAATGTGATCCAATCTAATAAGTTATCTGAGTCTATGCAGAATCCCGATCGAGATAGCCCCATCTCAATAGGGCCTAATACTGGACAAATAAAGTGTTTAAGTAGGCAGGGGAGTCCGTTCTTGATAAGAAAGGCCGGTGGGAAGTGTAAGTCATGCCAGGACTGGTGGTGACAGAGACAGCAAAAGTACTCTCGGCAGTTAGTGTCTGAAATGTCTAAATATTTTAAAAGGAGTATTCTTGATTCCCAAGACGAGCAGAGCAGGGCTATAAGTTGACTGAAAAGGGCACCCTGCTGCCAATAAACAAAAGCTTGCTGGTGGGAGATGTTAGGCCTGACAGGATATAAGTAGCTGAATCTAAGTAGGCGAGAAAAATATCGCACGGGTTGATAATAAATGGAGCTCTGCAGTGTTTTCCAGGAGCCATAAAACCAAAAACAAATGAGAAAAGAGTTCATCTTAGAATTAGGCCAGTGTTCTCTCCTTATGTGGTGTAACAAGCAAGGAAAATGAGGCGCTTCTGCCTTCGTGTGAGGAAAGCCTGAGGAAAAGTGGTAACCTGACCCTTGGCATATACAGCAGTCACCCCGTCTGCACAGGAAACACAGTTGCATGTGGCGGGAGGCAAAAGAAAGAATATCAGACGGGTAAACAAGATTCAAGAGGCGAAACGTGGGAGCTTTTGAAAGAGGAAGTGTAGAGGAAGCTGGTCGTCTGGGCGGGGGCATAATTGTAAAATAAATCTGTTGAGCCCAGCGAAGTTCTCCCAGAGTGTGTAGTGGGTTGTAGTGTGCTGCTTATAGGAAGGGTTTCCAGGGACAGTGACTTCCACTGGATCTCCCAGTCCTTTTTACGTGTCTTGGTTTCCCTCCGCGGCCGTTTAAAATGGCGGGGAGGTCTCGAAATGCCGGGTGACCAGCGCTTATATGCGCTTTCCGGATGAGTCAAATTTTAATTACAGGTGATATTTGACTTCCCCGGAGAAATGTTTGCTCAAGCTCAGAGACTGGGCCTCACGGATTAGTAGGACCCCGTTAAAGTGCCAAAGCGAAAATAAGAATCTCTAGTATTACCTACGGGTAACTGCAGGGGGGTGGGGGTGGGGACAGTATTGAGACACTCTCAGCCTTTGTCTTGCGGGTTATCTGCCCCGGGCTGAGCACCACCTTTTTCTTCCACGGGAATCTTCAAGTGGCACCCGCCCTACTGGCATTTAACGGGGTGCCCAAGAGAGTGCAGTTTAGAGAGAGAGATTAGAGAGAGAGGAGAGGAGAGAGGGAGAGAGAAGATGGGGGGAGGGGAGAGAGAAACAGAGGGGAGGAGAGAGGGAGGCGAGCAAGAGGGAG